CTCACCTACATCGTCCACAAGGGACGACTCGGGAACTCAACTCCTACCTCGGGCAGCTCACCTTTCCCCCTATGCCCAGGGGAAAGGTATCAAGCCGTTTGACAGCTGATGCAGGCTGTCAGAACGGCTTTTACGCAGAAACAGGCGGGAGCAGCAAACAGCTGCGTCCAGCGAAGGCGCCTGCCACCGGAAGTCCCGGTGAAAACTTGGAAATCTTAAACCTCTTCTTCCAGATGCTTTCTGGATATACATACTGTAACTCTGTCTCCTGCCTTGGTGTGGGGTTTGGTAATTCTTGCTGCCTCCAGCTATTTTCTAGGCACTGTCTCATTTGGTGTCCTCCCTTCTAACTCTCTTGTAAGACAGAGAGGAATTCCCACACCGTGTGGTAATTTCTACCAATTTAAAAAGAAAAGGTAAAATAATATTAAATGCTATATTCCTTGTCCTTAAAATGTTGAAGCATGTGGCCAGAGAAATCAATCTTTTCTCCCCCTTCTACTTTTGAGACCAATCTATACTGATCTCATGAGTTAAATGAAATCAAACTATTAAAATTAGGAAAAGATAAACATTCCATTTTACTTTGAATTGTGCATTACAAAACAATCAGTTGTGGGGGAAATAAAAATAACTGTTATAACCACAAGCAGTATATTAGAGGAATTTATTTAGAAGTAGTCTATTGCAAAGAGGGTCCAAATTGCTGAATTGCTAAGATTGCATAGAAGCAAAAATACCAGAGATAGTAAAGTAGACTAAAAACTTATAGCCAAAATAAAAATAATATTATTCAATTTTTTTAGCTAGATCCATTATTTCCTACAGTGTTTCTCAACCTTGACAATTTTAAGGCATGTGGACTTCAACTCCCAGAATTCCACAGCCAGCATTGCTGGCTGTGGAATTCTGGGAGTTGAAGTCCACATGCCTTAAAATTGTCAAGGTTGAGAAACACTGTCCTAAGATGACCAGATTTCTAAAGCTATAGTCCATATTATTGGAGTTTTTCATTCTTTTTCAGACATTCAGGAATGCTGTTGTGTAGCCTGGTAATCAGCTGCTTGGATTCCCATCTATTGAAGAACTACCTGAAATTTTCAAAAAAATAAAAGTTATTCTAACTGGAGAAGGAGAGTTATTTTATTACATAAGTATTTCTCCCTCACTGATAATAGGAAACCTGCAGTCTGCATCTAGTTAACAATTTGGAACCCAAAATAGCTTCACAGGTTAAACATAAGTTAAAGAATTGGATTGAAACTAACAGAATAAAAGTTAATAGAGACAAATAATTTGTAACTTAAAGAAACAAAATTCACATGCATGATAGAGGAAGATATCTATCTTGATAATAATACTTGTCAAAATACCTTGGAATACCTAGCACTGATATTACCTAATTTGGGTAATGAAACATCTGCAAGAAAACAAGCAGGCTCAAAGAGCACCAAGACTCATGTCAACCCTGAGCTACAAATATTCTCTTTTATTAATACCTTGGAATAGATAGACAGATAGATAACCTTTATTGTCATTTTTTTCCTGTGGGCACAATGGCACACATTAAAAATGAAATTTAGTTGCTTTCTCTCAAAGTGTACACATAACACATTTAAAACATACCATATACAACATACGTAGAGACCTACACCCTTACATATAAGTAACATATAAATATTATTCACTGTCCATCTTGAATACATAACGGAAGGAGGAAGCAAAATGAATAATAATAGGGAATGTAATGTAGTTGCAAAAGAAAAAAATACTAACAACCTTAGACTATGACAACCAAAACATATTGTAGGTAACTCTTTTACATTACTCTCTTTTAGTCAGATTTTATTTTGAGGAGTATATCTTCAGTCTGGATACCACACTTTAAGAAGAATTCAGAGAAAATGGAACAGGTTCAGAGAAAGGCTGAATTTAAGACTAAGCATAAAGGTTTCAGTTGATGAAAGTATATATGTTTCAGGCAGAATATCCTGAAATAGATTGTTATGAAAACAGATTGCCATGAAAAAAATGTCAGGGAAGATAGGTGAGATTTCTCTCTTCATTGGTAAAAGCTGCCACTAGGGGTTGCCATTGTATTATATTTGAAATAAGGCAATTTGAGCACAGTTTCCAAAGAGAGGAAGTCAATAGTAAATACTGGTTGTTCAAGGCCATTTCTGTCTTGTTTGTCAGAAGAGGATGCTGTTTTGAATGGATTATGCTTCCATACATTTTTTCTTTAGGACTTCCATACATTATCTTTATATTAGTAAGGAACTTTACCATAGTACAATAAAATCACAGCTAAAGTTAACGGTGGCTGAAGATCTGGAAAACCATAAAATAGTACAGGTAGTCCTCAACTTATAACAGTTCGTTTAGTGACTGTTGGAACTTACAACGGAACTGAAAAAAGTGACTTATGACCGTTTTTCACACTTAAGACCATTGCAGCATCCCAAAGGTCACATGATCAAAATTTGAATGTTTGGCAATTGGCTCATATTTATGACAGTTGCAGTGTCCTATGGTCATGTGATCAGCTTTTGCAACCTTCTGACAAGCAAAATCAATGGATAAACCAGAAATCACTTAGCAACCATATTACTAACTTAATAACTGCAGTGATTCACTTAATAACTGTGGCAAGAAAGGTCATAGAATGAAATTTTGGGCTCAATTGTCGTAAGTTGAGGACTACCTCTATTAAGTATGTTCGTCATTTCAAGTTATTTATAAAAATAATAAAGGGAAAATATAAATAAAAAGTAAATAAATAAAAACAATGACCATAATTCTTTTTCAAAAGCCATGTATTATATGCTATGCATTATTGTGCAGAAAACTACATAAAGCTATAATTTGTCCACTTTGCTATTATTAACAAAATATCAATTTTGAGGCATGCTTTTATTTAGTTTCCAAATAAAAATGTAATGATCAGGGTAATATTCTGTGGGAAATGATGGATTTTTTTTATTTCAATAAACCCAAGACCAGCTTCGTATATGTTTTCATGTCATGTTGCGTTATGCAGGGAAATACATCTATGTCAGTGGTGGCGAACCTATGGCACGGGTGCCAGAGGCAGCACTCAGAGCCCTCTCTGTGGGCACGCGCACCATCGCCCCAGTCCTAGGCCTTCAGCTGGGTTTTATAAAACTTTTTTGCTTTAGGCCTCTGCCGCCGTATGTAAAAAAAAAACACGTTCAATCAATCAGTCAATTTCAACTTCTCGCGGGAAAAAAAAAGATCTTGCAAATTTGGAATTGATTGATTGAACTTTTTAGTCCCACCCAGTCTGCTGTTACCACCGCAGCCCCGCCCACCCAATGGGACACACCCGCCCAATTGGCCACAGCCAGCCAATGGGCCACACCCACCCGGCACCCAACAATGCATAAGTGGGTTTTGGGTTGCAGTTTGGGCACTCGGTCTCTAAAAGGTTCGCCATCACTGATCTATGTGAATCAATTTGCAGTAGTATCCCATTGCTTTAAAATTCTTGATAGGTTTTGAAAAATAGGTTTTGAAAAAGTAGGCTAGATCACAGGGTATCTATTTTCTGGCTTAGGTGAGTTTCGAGATGCAGTATCAGGGCTTTTCAACCAGTGGTACGGGTACCACCTGTGGTACATTGGCTCCTAGCAGGTGGTACGCGACCATCCTAGAAAAGTGGTAGGGGGGGAGGGGAATGAGCTGAACCGGTGGCAGCACCGCACAGACCCGAGTGAGAGATGGCTGGAGCTGCAGGGCTCTCAGGGTTCAGCGGAAGCACCAGGATCAGCGCCAGGCTCCAGCTGGAGCTTGGCGCTGATCCTGGTGCTTCTGCTGAGCCCAGAAGAAGTGCCGATCAGTTGGAATGTTGCAGCATCTCCAGGGTCTTGTGATTTACATTCAGATGCTTGGCAACTGATTCATATTTATGACGGTCACAGTGTCCCAGGGTCATGTGAAGTGACCAAAACCTGCTGCAACCACCCAGCAGACGGGGGGAATAAAAACCAAACACCCCCCCACCCCACCTGCCAATCCTCAACAGCAATGCTCACAACAATGAAAACCTCGGACAGGAGGAAGAGCGCCACCGGGTGGGCAGGCAGGTGTCTTTCTCAGCTGTGGCTTGGGGGGCACTTTTTTCAGTGCCATTTTAACTTCAAACAGTCACTAAGCGAACTGTTGTAAGTCAAGGACTACCTGTACTTCATCAGTTTTTTCCTTTTTTTTTTTTGGTCAAGTTTTTGACACCTTGCTAGGCGCCTGGTGGTACTCGGATAGTGCCATATCCTAAAAGTGGGACAATGGCTGAAAAGGTTGAAAAGCCCTGCAGTATGAGACTCATGATATAATAAGATGAGTGATTAATGAAAAGAAAAATGTTGGTGTGATCAGATAGAAAAAAAACACACAAAAATGCTTTTATTAAACGATATTGTTTAATACCATTATACTCCCGAGTCAAACTGGCCCTCTCCAGCAGAGGGACTGCAGAGAGGGGTCCTGCCCGGTTTAATATACGCGAAGCGGGGAGGGGTGGCGGCGGCGGCGGCAGGCAGGCAGGCAGGCAGGATCAGGTTTCACATCCTGATCCTGTCTGGCTTGGGACCGAGAGCCTTCGCTCACCCTGAGGGGCGCAGGGAGAAAAGTCCGGGTAGTGCGGCCTGAGTGGAGATATGGCGGCGGAAAAGTGAGTGTAGTTTGGGGAGAGAGGCGATAATTTCGGGCCAAGGGAGGAGAGGGGGGTGCCCTCTCCGTCTGCCTCTTACCTGTTGAGCTGGGTGGGGCGCAGGGCTGGGCCCCAGGCGCCGCCAAAGTATCTCGAGACGCCGCCGACGCCGCCATTCCGCGCTCCTCTTCCCAGGCAGCGCGCGGTCGAAAAACCTTGGAGGGGGGAAGGAAAGAGACCGAGGCAACTTTGGGCGTTTCGTTTGCAAGGTTTCAACTAGCAAACGGCTCAGAGAGTTTCCCAGGAGTTTTTCGGCTCCGAGCTCAGTCGAGGCTAAAGAGGCAAACTACAATACGTGAGATGGCGGTGGAAGAGAAAGTTGCTGTGAAGTGAGTTAGGGGCTTAGCTGGGCGAGCTTGAGGTGTAGTTTACTTCACCCCTTTCCTTTGCCTTTTCTAATGGTCTTAATGCTCACGCGTTTGTTTTTTGGAGAAAGATACTCCTTTAAAGTAAGTGGCGTTTGGAGAATATAGCTTTGTGGAACAACAATAATGTAAGTTTTCTCTTTGGCCTCAATAAATAAGGCTGGATATATAGAAATTGATATCAAGAGATATTCTTCTTAACCGCGATGTATATTACCTTGTTAACGTGTGAACTGAACCATTGTGGTTTACAATCAGTGGGTTATGACAGAGTTTACTGTGAATTGGGTCAATACAGTTTATTCAAACCATTTGAACATTATCATAAAATAGTATTTCTGCTCCTGGTGACAGAGATAAAATTCTTCCTTCTATATTAAAGAAGAGTTACTTCTTGTCATTGCTAATTAATCCTTTTGGTTGTGAGTTTGATAGCTAGAGGGTATTGACTACAGTATATATTTTTAAATGTCACTTCTATTAATATTTACATAGGCATTGCTGTGATTTAGATAGTAAGAAATACTTTAATGTTCTTTTGCACTTCATTTCCAATTTAAAGTACATAATAGGAATTTTTTTTTCATGATTTGTTTTTGATTAATGCCATGAATATTTTAGAATATATGTATAATATCTTCATAGATTTCTTTGGAGCATAGTTTGTATTTAATTATAATAAACGGATGATTATTAGTGACCCTTTCATAGCAGAGAAAGAGAATTTCTAGTTTGTAGTTGGATTTTGGCCTACTGCATATTCCATCTTCTTATTAAAGGCATAAAACATGATATTTCTTTGTGCCTTTGATTAGCCCTCACATTTCAGGAAACATGAAAAATGGGGGAGAACCTAACTGGAGGGCTGCAGCATTAACTATTCAGATTAGGGACTGTCAGGTGCTGAGATAATTTCAAGTCCATTATATAAAATATAAGTCACTTTGGGGGCCAAAAATGATGTAGATAATTTGAGACTTTTCATATATTGAACTCCTAAATTTGTAAGTACATTATTTTGAAACTATATAAATATATCTTATTTTTAATCTGAACATTTACATTCTATTATATTTGTGAACTGGGAAAATTATAGAATCATAGGACTGTAAGGAACTATGGAGGTCTTTTAGTCCAATCCCTGTGCAAGGCAGATTCCCTCATAGCATTTTGGACAAATGGTTGTCCAATCGTTTCTTGAAAAATCTTCAAGGATTGAGTACTAACAACTCTCGGACAAGCTGTTTCACTTCAGGAAATTTCTCCTCATTTCCAGGTTGGATCTCCCTCTGACAAGCTTCTAGCCATTGCTTCTTGTCCTACCTTCAAGTCTCCACTCAGTCTTCAGTCATGTCTCCTCTCAGTCTTTTTTTTTCTTAAGCTAAGCATACTTAATTCCTTTAGGTGTTCTTCATAGAACTTAATCTCCAGATCCTTTGTCGTCATTGTTGCTACTCTCTCTTTCTATGGCCTCAATATCTTATTTGTATTGTGACCAGAATTGGACACAGCATTCCAAATCTGGCCTCACCAGTGCCTTATAGAGTACTATTATTTATCTTGATCTTGATACTATCCCTCTGTTGATGCAGCACTGTGTTGGCTTTTTTGGTAGCTGCAGTATACTGCTGACTCATACTTAAGTGGTGGAGGAGACTTAGATCCCTCTTATAGACTCTACTCTTAAGCCAGATACTGTCTATCCAGTACCTGTGCACCTTGTTTTTCTTGCAGGAGTTTACTTTTCTTACCATCAAACTGCATCTTGGTAGCTAGGTCCAATTGCTCAAGTCTGTCAAAATTCTTCTGAATCTTGAGTCCATCTTCTAAAGTCTTAGTGATGTCTCCCAGCTTTGTAATATCCACAAATTTGATGAGCACCTCTTCAGCCCCCTTATCATCATCATCTTCTTCTTCTTCTTCTTCTTCTTCTTCTTCTTCTTCTTCTTCTTCTTCTTCTTCTTCTTCTTCTTCTTCTTCTTCTTCTTCTTCTTCTACTACTACTACTACTACTACTACTACTACTACTACTACTAATAATAATAATAATAATAATAATAATAATAATAATAGAGTTGAAAGGAACCCTGGAAGTCTTCTAGTCCAACCCCCTGCTCAGGCAGGAAACCCCATATCATTTCAGACAATGGTTGTCCAGTCTCTTCTTAAAAACTTACAGTGTTGGAGCATTCCAGTGTTGCTACTTTTGACAGGTTGGACTGTTTTTCTTTTTCTTTTGCATAAAGACAAGTGCAAAAAAAGCTATTAAGGCATTCTTCCCTCCCCTGCTGCCTTTCATCTTCTTGCCATCTTCTCCTACTAGTGGACCAACCATTTCCTTGACTTATCTCTTTCTCTTTACATATTGAAATAAACTTTTTTTGTTATTTGTGGCATATGTTGCAAGTCTTAGCTTATTCTGAGCCTTAGCTTTCCTGACTTGTCCTTGCAGATTCGGGCTGTTTGCTGGTAATCTGCTCTAGATATAAGCTATTCTTTCTATTTTTTAATGCTTATTCTTTTTCTCCCTTAGTTTATTAGAAAGAGCTCTTTGTGCAATTATGCTGGTATCATCAGATGTTTCTTGTTTTTCTCTCTATATGATGTTGTTTTTGGTTGGGCCTTTATTATATCTTTTTCAGAATTTCTCAAGCATCCTGAACTATATTTTCCTCTAGAATTTTCATTCATGGGATCCTTCTTATTCTTTCACTTAATTTGTTGAAATCACCTGCCTTAAAATGTATAATACTAATCTGACTTTGTACAGTTACCCTTCTCTGCATTATTGTGAGTCCTAGTTTGAAATGGTTACTCTCTCAAAGGTCCTACAACTTCCGGTCCTTAGACTCCTTTACTCCACTATTCATCCACTATATGTTCCAGTAAATTTTCCCACATGGATAGTTACTGCTCTTGTAATTCAAATTATTACGGTCATTAACCAGCAGAAAAAAAGAAGAAAATAGTTTTCACATATTCAGAACATCCAAAAATAAATAAGTGATGCATAGAAAAATATGTTTAAAAGCTTCATTTTCACTAGTTAAAATTAACCTAAAATCTAGAATATGAACCAGCTTTGGCAGCACATATACTAAAATTGAATGAAGCAATCTGTAAATGATGATGTGATGTAGCAATAGATAATTGGAATTTGAAAATATCAATCATGTTTCTATTTGAATGGTATTACGTTTGAGATTAAAAGTGGGCTTTCTGTTAGTGGTCCTTATCACTAACATTACTAATTGTTACAGACAATGCTTGATTTTTAATCTAGTCTGTATGGAGGCTATTTATCAATCAATCAGTCAAACAAACAAACAAACTTGTATATTGCCAATCTCACTGAGATGACTTTAGGTAGTTTGCAGACATTGAATAAAATACATATAAAACATTAATACAATAAAGATCTTAAATTTAAAAAATTGATTAAAATAACAATAAGCAGGATGGAGCAAAGTGTGCACAGGGAGGAGTGGGATGTTCTCTACTATTCCATTAGCCACCTCAAGTGTGCCACACTCCCACTGGGGCACCAGGCTAGTTGGAACAGCAACATCTTCATCGCTTCTCGGAAGTGCAAAAGAGTGGGAGCGGCTCTGACGTCAGAGGAGGGTCTTCTTCTGGACCCTACCAACCAAAATTCCTTGGCTGGCACACCCCTTCTCCCAGCATGGGCAGGGTGGACTAATCCCACCAAGATGAACCGTTTCCTCAGATAATAATAGTAATAATAGTAATAGTAACAATAATAATAAAGTTGGAAGGGACCTTGGAGGTCATCTAGTCCACCCCTTACTCAGGCAGGAAACCCTATATCATTTCGGACAAATGGCTGTCCAGTCTCTTCTTAAAAACTTCCAGTGTTGGAGCATTCACAGCTTCTGGAGGCAGGTTGTTCCACTGGTTAATTGTTCTAACTGTCAGAAAATTTCTCCTTAGTTCTAGGTTGCTTCTCTCTTTGGTTAGTTTCCATCCGTTGCTTCTTGTCCTACCTTCAGGTGCTTTGGAGAATAGCTTGACTCGCTCTTCTTGCTTGATCTCTCATCTGTTTGAAAATAAATGCAATATGAAAGTACATACTTAAATATGTTTATTCCTTTTCTTCTACAGATGAATCCACCTGAAGTTAGGTGAGATTATCTATAATGTTCTAATTATTGTGACCCCCAGGTAGTCTTAGGTGTAGGATTTGACAGGACCTGGTGATAAAGTAGATTGATTTTTACCAAGAAATATATGTGGTCAAATCTCAATTAACTCTTCTAAATATTTTAGCAAGATTAGGAGTCATACATGGTGATAAGATTTGGTAACATAGCTGAGGTATGGCATATGAGGTATCTATATTCCTAAATGTTGATGACTATGACCTCACAAATTAATTTTATTAAACAATTAAAAATAGCAAAATATATTTGAGTTGTATGTCCCTCTTACTCTAGGACATAAGTCGGCAACATGCGGCTCCGGAGCCGCATGCGGCACTTTGAGCCTTCTCCTGTAGCTCCCAGCCTCTTCTGCCATTTGCAGACAGAGACAGAGAGAGGCACTTGCACTTCCTCCCCCCGTGTGTGTGTGTGTGTG